GTTTTCAAAAGTTAAAAATGCACATAGGTTTCAAAGATGTTTTAAAATCAAATAAATAGGCCAATAATAACAGTTGAGCGACCGTGCTAAAACTACGGAACTCGGGAATGCCTAATACCTTCTCCCGAGTTAACAGAATTCCTTACCCGAATTTCTGTGTTCGCGGACTGTAAAACAGAGTCAACCTTTCCTCGATTCGGGATTTAAAACCGGTGACTTGGGACACCATAAATTATCCCAAGTGGCGACTATGAATTTATAGACAAATAATCCCATTTCGGTTGTCACTTAAATTGGAAAAAACCTCTCTTATACTCCCTTCCGGGGGTAGGAAGAAGGAGGTGTGACAGTTGTGATACCACATCATGGCCCCTTTTGAAAGTGTTTCTCCGAATTTTTTCAGCAGGACGGATTCAATCTCGTCGTCCTTAAGATCATTTCCCTTTACAACACAAGTGTAGGAAGTGATGTGCTCGTTGGGATCCGAGGTTCCGTTGTACTTCAGTAGATCGAGCATTCTAAAACACCTGGAGAGAGAGAACGCATGAGTAGGATCCCATACGCTAGTGCAGTGGGAGCTATCATGTATACCATGACATGTACACGTCCTGATGTGGCTTATGCACTTGGAGTGACTAGCCGATATCAGGCAAATCCTGGTGAGGAACATTGGAAGGTGGTGAAGACCATTCTTAAGTACTTAAGAAGGACTAAATACCAATTCCTCATCTATGGAGATTCAGAGTTGAAACTTGAAGGTTATACTGATGCAAGTTTCTCTTCAGATAGAGATGATAGCAAATCTATTTCTGGTTATGTATTCACCTTAAATGGTGGTGCAGTGAGTTGGAAAAGTTCCAAACCAGCTACAGTAGCTGATTCAGTGACTGAAGCAGAATATATAGCAGCTAGTGAAGCTGCTAAGGAAGCTGTATGGATGAAAAAGTTCTTAACTGAACTTGGTGTGGTTCCTTCAATAGAAGGTGCGGTTCCACTGTTGTGTGACAATACTGGAGCCATTGCTCAAGCAAAAGAACCAAGATCACACCAAAAATCCAAACACATTCTGCGAAGGTATCACTTGATAAGAGAGATCATTCAACGTGGAGACGTCGAGATTCAAAAGATTGATGGAAAAGAAAATGCTGCAGACCCATTCACTAAAGCTCTTGGCGCAAAGGAGTTTGACAAGCACAAGTGGAAATTGGGGATGAAGTACAAGAGCGATTGACTCTAGTGCAAGTGGGAGATTGTTAGGGATATAGTAGATATGCCCTAGATCCAATATCATATTTGATGATTTGAACATATTTTTGTGAACATTATTTGATATAAAAATATATGGCATTCTTTTTATCATAGTTATTATTAATTGTTTGATTAATTGATAAGGTCCTTGATTAAATTTTGAGATTTGTCATCGTGATAGAGATCATGATAATGAGAGCAAAGTCTCTTATAATTTAATCTGAAATTGTTCTTGATCGTAGGATTATTAATCTGGACATTAGTAATCCGCTTAGATCAATATTTATGTGATCGTCTTTATGGGATAAATATTAGTTGATCTCATTAACTAAATCACATAGATAGATGATGCATATAGAGATATGATCATTGAACCGACTCATTGGATAATTCCTAATGGTTAGAATTACCATAAACTGTCAATAGGATATTCTCTTGAAGAATGTGATGTAAAAGTTTCCTTTGACCTGAGATCGTCATAGTAATTGACAAGTTATTTGTTGTGCTTTAATACTAGACACCTATGGCCCTAGGGCGATAGTTGAAAGGATATTGGGTACGATTGAATACTTGTAGAATTAGTGATTGATCAAGATGAAATCTGTCAACTCTTGGTAATGAGTTTAAGCTCCATGTTGTCATGAATTATAAACGACCAAATTAAGACCTTGGCCAGGGCAATTGAATGAAAAGAAGAAAAGAGTTTCTTAGGTCATTCAATGGTCGATTATATTTGACATGGACACATAGTTGGTCGCCTATTAGGATTTGACAGTTGAACCATATCCTAGGGTGATCCAGAGCTATAAGGACAGAAGGAATTACTACATTATTCTTCTACTGGTTCTTGAGAGTAAATTGTATACTTCATGTTATCCGGTCGTTAAGGAGTGTTGCTAGACGCCACCCTTGATTAGTATATTGATATGATCAATTTACTACCGGCTTAGTATTGAACCTATGAGGTCGCACACTAATGAGTGTTCTGATCTTTGCTAAAGGATTAACTATTTTATTGTTTGGTAATTAAATTAAAGAATTTAATTAGTCAAACAAATTTAGTTATTAGTCCAAGTGAAATATTATTATATTCTTTGCTAGCACAGATGATATAATTAATATTGTGAACAAATTGAAGTTTTCTATTTGGAATAGAAAATTAAATTATATCTCTTGGTTATATATATATATATAGGATATGTTATATAAAATATTAAAAAAAAAAGGTTTGATGGAAACTTTGTAAACGTGAAATCCAATTGGAATTGGATTCACGTTAAAGTACTGTCGGCTTCGGGCTTCTACGATTCCATTAGGAGTGGGATTATGATTTTTTAATATAAAATCATTAAAGTCCAATTGAGGTATTGATTTCAACATTGTCGCCTTAGTCTTTTCCATAACCTAAAGGGAAAAGCTGGTGATATGTATTTATATACATATTGATCACCCAAATACGAGACCAACAGTAGTTCTTCGGAGGAACTGCACCAAGAGATAATTTCAGCAAAGAAAATTAGTTTTCTTCTCGTGCTGTTGGCTGGACTTTGAGAAATTTCAGCACATAATTTTATTCAATTTGTTCACGGGTTTCATTGATCAAAGAGTTGATAGCAAGGATCGGTCTCGGTGTGGATACGCATAGAGTCTTCGCACTATCGAAGAAATTTTGAAACAAGACTTTCTTCACCAGGTACGTCTTAGATCCGATCTTTGACATGTAAATAAATTTTAAACACGAAAAAATCTGCCTAGGATTGTTATTGTCTTCCGCTGCGTGTTACGAACACCTATATGCAATCCAACAGTACACACTTGAATACATGGAAGAAATAGATTCTCTTCTCTCTTTCTCTCTACATTGTTGTCTATCTTCTTGTTTTATGGAACGCATGAAGCGTAATAGACAAATTGGTTCCAAAGATAAAACTCTTTGAAGAAGGAGGGAGCAAATGTTCAAGATGGTCATAACAAGGAGGCAAGTGCTTTATAAGAACACCATGACATAACACTTTATAAGACCCCATGGGAGAGGCTCATGTACTTGAGAATAATGAGATCTCGATAAGTTATGTCTTTATTGTGTGATGATGGAACCGATGTAAAATGATCGTCGACGATGTTGTTAATATAATGTAGCGCTCAATATTATTAAAATTGACGAGGATCCTGAGCTCAAATCTGTCATGGAATTTGGACAGATAAATGATTGGCCAAATGAAAAATATGCAATGAAAATTGACTTCATCTGAAAAATATGAAGTTTGGACGAATAACCCCAACAGCTGAGAGTATAAAGGCTATATGGAGATATTGAAATATGATTAGTATTATATTGCAAAAAGAATCCTTGATATAGATTTGTTTATTCTAACAAATATTGTCAAGGTTTTGTTGTTTATGCAAATGCAGGCATTTATTGAAGTCCGTTCTTCAAACAATCTATTTGTATGTGAGGAATTGTCATATTATCATTTCACAAGATGTGTGACTTTTCTTTGAAGAGAAGATTCCAATAATAATAAGCTGATGTTTGCTTATCTCAATTGAAAGAAGAATATTGAAGGAGACTGAATAAATCATATATTCCATCAAAGTTCTTTGTCAGACACGATCTTCAACAGAATGATGAAATAGATGTTCAAGAAATTCGTTCAAGTGATAATTTGGCGGAATAATTCACCAAGGCATTGCCGATCTCAATATTAGAGAAGTTGTTAGACAAGTTTGGAATTCGTCGTGATATTTTCATTAGGGGGAGGCAAATATGTGTTGTACTCTTTTTCCCTTAGCTAAGGTTTTATCCCACTGGGTTTTCCTGGCAAGGTTTTTAACGAGGCAGCAAATAAAGCGTATTACAGATATGTGTACTCTTCTTCCTTCACTAGAATTTTTTTCCCATAGGGTTTTTTCCTAGTAAGGTTTTAACGAGACACATTATCTTTGGACATCCAAGGGGGAGTGTTATGAAATACTTGATTATGGTGGATGTCCATAACTCCTAAGGGAGTAACACCCACTACTCTTCTCCATTAACCTCCCACTACTTCTTACCGTTATGGATGTAACTCCCACACCTCCATGATCTTCCCCCATGTTTTCAATAGTTAATACCATGTTTATGGAGTCCCTTTGTGTTACCTATATCATCCTATAAATAGAGGGTTTGGGCATCACATTGTACACATTTGAATTCATGGAAGAAATAGATTCTCTTCTCTCTTTCTCTCTACATTGTTGTCTATCTTCTTGTTTTATATTATTACTTTGACCTAAGTTTCGTAACACACTACTAATTATTGAAATTAGACATGATAAGGTGGAGTTTAGGCTATGAATATTAATGGTGTTAATATCAATAAATGAGTAATAAATAGGTGTCCTTGATGATCTAATTGTTCGTTTGGTTACAATTAGTAATATCTATAAACCATTTCTTTTGTTCTGAAAACTATTCTCGATCCTGATTCTTCTGTCACTAAGTATTTTAACTCGTATAAATCTATACTTCTCCAAAATAATAAAGAAAAAAAGTTATTATTGAAACAAATTTTCATTTGTTTTTTATCTCTGAAGTTACAAATTCAATTAATAGAATTTCTTATCCTTATTTAGAAAAGAGATCTCGTATCACATTTTGCTAAAGTTCTTTATTTTTTGTGATAAAAATCAGAAGCATATTTTTTTTCCTTTTGATGAAATAGCAATACTCCATTATTTTGACTTGATTAGAGTTTTCCATTTTCCCAAATTTGGTTTTCTTATTTCCCATTTCCCAAACAATACCCAAAAATTCTTCAATCTTCTCTATCCAAAAGCAAAAAAAAAAAATGGGTGGCCGTTAAAACAGCTATTGTATCACTGCGATACCCCGCCCGCATTTTCCCGCCATCACTTGTTCACGTCTCCAAATGGCTTGCCTATTGCTCTCAATCTCGAGCTGTTACTGTCTTCGCCTTTCACAACTTGTTTTTAGTGGCCAAAGACCAATTACACGTCAAAATACTTTCAATTTTAGTAAAATTATCATACACCCAAGCATTAATCAATGTCGTCCATTTTATAGAGGAGCAAGATTCATCTTGCTCTCAAATGCCCAAAGCAATGGAGAATACGGCGGCTCTGAGCAGTTAATTGAAGATCTTAGGGTTCCCCAACAATGGCTTGAACCGTCCAAAGCCCTCGAGGTAATTAACACGTGTCTTTTCCCAATTACTCATTTAATATTAGATCAGAATATAATACACATATGTAGTCTGAACATGAATGTTCATCCACTGTTTAACTATATGCTGTTTTCGCCTCTGCACCATTTATGCTAGCCTTTCTGGACATCCCATTTGCTCAAAGTCGAAATTTTTATTTGAAGATGTTGGTTATAATTATCTTTTAAATACCCTTTCTTAGCTAGCGACTAAGAGGCGGATCTAAGATTTGAGCTTTATATGTTGGAGTTCAGGATTCTACCAAAGCCCATTTGATTGACGTGGAAATCTATTATTTGTACTTTTTAAGTAAATTTTTTGTTGGTGAAAACACAGTTACAGTTGAAACATAAAATGAAGAAAATAAATATCTTTAGTGAGGCGCGGATATCTCGCTCTCTTTAAGGAGATTCAAGCCCGCTGCAGCAAAATCTTCATTGGTCCAGTAGTAATCTTCTTGACGTCCCAGGATACAACAGCCTGATCACGTCGTATGACTCGAACAAACTCTGGACAAGTTGTTGAGTCCAAAGCTCCACCAAGATGAATACCTTCCTTCAACAAAAGTAAAACTCTCTTCTTTCTTTTTTCACAACTAATGGATTTGGATGAACCCATATAAAGGTCCGAGCCAAAAGTAATGGATTTGGATGACCCCAATACATATGCTTATGCGTCCTCCCCAGTAGCGATTTGTGGCCTAATTTATGTTGATATCTTGTTGATAAAGTTGTAGTTACTCATTTTTATGAGGGTGTATCAGAAAATGAATTAGCTTAATTGGTACTCCTAGAAGGGATTTGATGGTCGCAGATCAGAGGTTTTGCCTGCACTTTATCTTTGCAGTTACAAGCTAAGAGAGCGTTCTTTGTGAATTACCTATTAAGAAGTCAATTAAATATCCCGGAAGCGTTGAAAGATCTTAACTTTGAGTTGCGGTGGGGCTGATCAAGCAGTTCATGCATAGGGAGTAATTACATACTTCAGCATTGCCAATCTGATTTTTAAAATATTTGTGACAATTGAAGTTTTCTTGGAATTTAAATTCTTTTGAAATGGTAATAAATTTAGAAATAATTAAATATAGAAGCGTAAAAATAATTCTTACTTGATTCTTTTTGATTGTTTTGTGATCCTGGACATTGCTGGGATCAATGGTAGTTACCTTATGTAGCCATTGTGTTAAGAGGGTCTAGCTAGTAGCAAACATATATGGGCACATAGTTTTCTTGGTAGTCCTCTACTTCGTCACCAAACCACAAACGTCGTGGTATATTGGAGACCAAAAAGTTAAGAGGCCAAGTGTTATACAAATAACTGTACTCTTATATCAAGTAAGGCTGTATGAAATTTGAGAACTATGACCTTGATCTTCCTTTAGTAATTAAGTTGTGTCTGTGTACCATCCTCTGCTGTGTCTATGCCAAGTGTTTTCTGAAAATTCAACTTTTTTTGCCTTCTTGATTATGTTTAGCAAGTTCTCTTCAGAACAAGTTTTATATTCTAATTACAATCACAACAAGTATTCCACAAAAGTTAAATCAATTTAGCAAGATCTCTTTAAGATATGTGTTGAGAGGCTCCAAACTCTAAAGTGCATCGAATGTTAGTTCAGGCATTTACATTCAGCAAAATGAAACTGCTAGTTATCGTGTTTGTTTTACGTCTGATGAAGGATAATCATTGCTGAGAAGGACGAGATGATCTGCAACTCAACCGTAAAAGTCTTGCACTCTGTCATGACACAATTAGTGATTGCTTTTGATGCTCTCAGTTACCTTTATCATTACCCCAGGGTAATTGTCATATTAGATCTTTTCTACATATAAGCTTTGCCATTTAGTTTGAATGGATCTCAATAGTAATAGCTATTTAGTATGTGGCATCATTATCGGGTTTAAACTCCTATGTGCTCTGTAGGATAAGGTATTTGCAACCTGTCTCTTCTACTTACTGCATATTGACTATTTTCAGGTGGAGATTTTGTTGTACAACTGTTTGAGTAGATGAGCCAAGATGAGATTAAGATTTGCTTAAAATTCCTCCCAAGATTGATATGTGTGCATGTTATCTGTAGTTCTTGTCTTTGATATATATCTTAGCTGATTTTCCCCGAGACTATTTGCAAGAGGGTAGGAATTCCTTCCCTTCACATGATCTAACAAGTTTTATTTAATTGGAAAATATGTATGTTGAATACTTTAAGATGCCATTTTTAGTTAGCTTTAAGCGTCAAACCTAAGTTGTGGATGTTGTCCAATACTGTATAGCTTGACCGTTGACTTAGTCCATCTGAGAATGACTTGCTATCGTCACGTTGTTGCGTACATCTGTATGCGGGCTGGTTCCAATGTGCTCCTTTCTATTCCCATTGAAGAAAAAGGGAAAGAATTAGTGTACCTTCCTCTGATACAAATATTGCATTGTGCTCAGGAGCCTTTCTTTGCATCTGCACGTGTTTTGAAATTAATAATTCTAGATATGAGGTCAACTTTAGGATGTCTGCTTACTTTTTTTAGCAGCCTCTACTTCATCAATTAGAAATAATGCAGAGGTTTCTGATCTGCATAAATTGCATAGAGTAAGGCTGAAGGTGTACAGTTAGTTACATATTGTCTCACCCGAACCCTCTCTTTTCTCTACTGGAATACATGGCTCAAGAACTTGTGGCATTTACACAGGAATCTGAATGGTTGAGAACTGCTCTTAACAAGTGGTTGGATGATGAATATTGTCCAGAGGAAACAAATGTTGAGATTAGCGAAGTTGCTGCAAATTCATTCTACAGATCATTGTTAGAGAATAAAACTGACATAGGTGAGATACTGTTAAAGATGGCTGGAGACTTGGAATCCATATCCTATCAAGAAAGCTTTCATGGAGCATTCTCATCAGCAAATGCAGCAGTGAGTCTCATAATCCAACGGCTTGAACAAAACTAATCGTTTTGCCTCAGTAAAAAGTTTGACTCTTACCTTCCTACCAAACACGCCTTAAATTTTTTCCTTTGACTTGCATTTTAGAATTATCCTTAGTATATTAAGATTAAGAGAAACATGCCTACACCAATAAGGTTAGAAAGGCCATTTATCGTAAAGAAAAAAAGGTTAGAAAGGCCTATGGCTTAATAACTTCAGTTAGTCAGCTTTTATTGTGGTATATGGAGTTGCTGGAGAAATATGTATTTGCCAGATACCTCCAATTTGCAGTTGAATTTTAGAATGTACATATGAAACAATGGTCTATGTGACTATGTTAAGTTGCGCTGGTCATCTCAAGACCAATTTCTTTATTTTATTTTTTATTTATTTATTATGAGTAACGTTTTTCCAGTAGAGAAAAAGGGAACATATTGTGATGCTGGAAAAAAGTCCTTTTGCACTCTGGAACCCATTTTGCACTAGCGCACGGCGCGGTAGTGCAATTTTTCCAAAGTGAGATTTTTCCCCTCACATTTTGATATTCAGACTTGGGTCGAACCCCGAACACAATTTCGCCTTAATTTCTTGGACTTCTACTCAGGCTTAAAAGCTCCAATTCATCCATTTTAGCTCCACACTTATTTCTCCACTCGAAATCACATCCTACACAACACATAACTAAAAACGTGAGTTCCTAACCTACCATCAAGGATTAAACTGAGAGCATACTAAAGAATATATTTTTTCCCTCTCATTGGAATAACAAAGAGCCAAATGGTCAAGTTGATTGAAGAAAAAGTGGAGCTTTTATTTCGTTGTGGCCAAAGCTACTGGCCGAACCCGTATTAGTAATGCTGATATTAGTTATGCTGACATATTTCTTATCCATTGTTTGGTTTGATGTATTAAAGCATTGCACAATTTCTAAAAGAATTGTTTGTTTACAAAAATGCCCTCAAAACCAGTCCATCACTCTAACTTTTTAAAAGAAACATATGTTGAGAAATGTTTTTATATGAAAAAATTTAAAAAAATTTATTTGATTGTCTACCTATATTGTAATATAGAACTAAATATTTATTTTTCAAAAAAATATATGCTAAGTATTTATTTATTTAGTAGAGATATAATTTTATTTCTCACTATTTGGATTATTTTAAACTTGCATTAATATAATAACTAGCATATTTTAATCAAGCATAAATTTTGAAGGACAATTTTGTCTTTAACTAAGCTAATGCATGCATTAAAACTCATTGCATTGCTAATACCATAATTTTCTATGCATTAGTTAACTAATGCATACAGTGGCGGATCTAGAATTTTGGATTCGTGGGTGCTTAAACTTTTTGACGTAAAGTACTACCAAACACATTGTATAAGTACACAAATATTTGAATACGATGATAAAAAAAAATATGTAATGAGAAAACTCATAATTTTTATATTATGGACGCAGTGAAATTGTGATGGATAAGGCAACTAATGAGAAAAAAAGATAGGTGGATTTTACCGTTCTAGAGGACCACTTCATCTTCAAACGAGCCCCTTTTTAAGTAATGTATATCACTTTCAGCCCATGCCAGAAACTATTTACATTCGCTAGCCAAAAAAGTGTATACAATTTGTATATAACATAGAGAATGTATATTCTATATAGAGAGCGGTTACATAATATTATTTTCCCTTTTCTTTTTCTTTCTTTGTTATAGTGAATTAAATAAAGTTAACTTTTTTTAAAAGTCAACGAAAAAAAATGAAAAAATAAGTAGTATTGGATCAAGATAGTAGCTAGTGAAAGAACGAAAAAGTAGACCTAATTGGAATGGGGAAAAAGAAAGAAGCTTTAATGTAAGGAAAATACCTATAAAAAGGACCCAGCTTGCTATAAATGGGAATCGAACTCTCACTACCCAAGTTTTGTAGCCTCTAGCACCTTTTCTTGACCACAGCACCCATCGAATTTTACGAAAATATTGACTTCATAAATTTTTTAATATAATTACACAACTCTTTGCCAAGGTCAGTGGGTGCTTAAGCCCCCAATTTTGATATGTGGATCCGCCACTGAATGCATAGGTTCAAACTTCAAAATGTCTACCAAACAACATATTATTAATACACAAAGCTAATGCATGCATTATTTTATCTAATGCATCCAACCAAATGACCCCTAACTCCATTCCTGAGATTATGGGTAAGAAATGTTGTTTTCACCTTTCTAATAAATTAAATTATCAAAGATTGACAATTTCAGCAGTTGTCACGATCAATCAGTTATGTGATGAATCAGGCCATCAAAACCTCCCATAAAATCAAGGGTGGGGAAGGTCACTTTCCATATTTGTTTTAGCATCTTTTGTTTTCATCTACTGTACTATGTGGTCGATGAAAAAGAAGTAAAAACAATTGGTCCACGAGAACCAAGTTTCGAAAAAATATCGACTTGGGTACAACAATATATATTTGGTACATTTCATTTGAAATATTACCTTGGACTGATAATTTGCTGGTGTATTTTTGAGGTAGCCATAAATGTTTTGCCTTTTTATATTGGCCATGGCCCATGAACAGTGGACAGGCCAATGAATGATGATAGAGAAATTGCTTATATGAATTATGAAGTGTAGTTGTCTGTTTTATGTAATTACTATACGTTGGTCTTCAATGAAATGGTGGTGACACAACATATTCAAAGAAAATTTTATTGCGAATTTAATTTATATACATTGATGATGTACCATGTTTTCTATGTTAATTTTATTATTTAATGAGTGATTGTTATTAAAAAAAATTATATTAAAAGCATATGAATTAAACTCGATTATCGGGGATTTTGGGATTTCTTGATCAAGTGGTGAACAATTGGCCAACTTAATATAACAAGATTTAACTAATCTGTTGCCACTACAAAAAAAAATGGAATTAGCTACGAACATCGTCGCTAATCTATCGCTAAAACACTCGTAGCTAACAAAATTTCCTGATAATCCGTTGCTAATCCGTCGCTAAATGAGATTAGCGACGAATTTTTCTATTTAGCTACTGAATTTGTTCGTCGCTAAAACCTGATTTTTTAGTATTCCAAAATGTGACAGAAGAAATGATACCAAGATATTTTTTGACGTCAAAATGATTGAATGCCATAGGTAATGCGATTTTGAGTAATGTGGACTGATTTTATTGGTTGTTTACATCTCTAACAAAGCAATAATTGATGGAAGGGCTTAGAAGGGTGTGCCTAGAAATAATAGGGAGAATGATATTGCAGCTTGAGTTGACATTAATTGTCTGTCTGGCTATTTTATTTGGAGTCCTGAACCAATATGTGGTTTTTTTGGGTTCAAAGAACAAAAATATTTTAAAAAAAATGTAGTGACCAAAATATATATAACGTCTTTTTAAAAGATGCTATACCTTAATGACCGTTTGGCCAGTTAAGTATAACGACTTTTAAAAAGACACTATATATATAGCGTTCTTTACTAAGACGTTATACATATTATGTGGGCCCACAAATAATTCTTCTGTGCTTAACTGACATAACAATAATTCAACTGGGTATAGCATTTTAAGCTAAGACGCTATACCTCAAATAATTGAACCCCCGGACTGATTTTTGCCTTATTTAAAGAGGTGAAAGATTTTGTAAAAATCCATTCATAAACATTTTCAAGTCTTCTGAAATTTTTCTTTGTTAAGTTGTTTTGCATTTTGTCATAATGTCTGAAGAGCGAAGAATTAGGGTTTCATTATATTGGGGGGGGGGGGGGTGAGGTTGTGGTGGCGAATAACTCAGTAAGCTATAGTTTATCTCCACATTCTCATGTTAAGTTGCCACTTATAATGGAGTACACATTGCTATCGTTGTTATGTAAAAAATGAGTGTGAGCAAACGTTCGGTGAATCTTAAAATAACCGGAAGATATCCGTATTCTGTGACTCCGCAAGGGGTTGCTTGTTATGCTGAGTTTAACATCAAAGACGATGAAACTTTGAGAGATTTTTTGAAGACTCCGGATGAATACCGGGAATTTCTTGTGATAAAATTGTTGGAAATGTACGTAAAGGCTGAAGAATCGCAATAATGAGGTTGTGCATAGTAGGAAAATCCCTCAATCATCGGGTGGTTATTTTGGAGCAGTTTTAGCCGAACAAGTTCCGGCTAAAAGAGTTTGGCTGGATCTAAACTTATCTCCACGGGCGAATGAGGAGCGAGAAAATAATTTCTCCCCTAGCATACATCATCCACAAGCCGAGTGGTAAACTTCAATTTTCCTTTGTGTTACAATGCATATTTTTGTGTATTGTATTTGTATCACTCATATATTCCACATGGGGTACCGACCAGATATGAATTTTACAAGTTATGAACCAACAGCTAGTTGGAATATGCCTAGTTGGAATTTTACAAGTTATGAAGCCGAAGACGACGTATTTACTCGAGATCTGGCAGATGCGCAGAGTTAGGAAGAGAATAGTGATTATGACAACAACGCCGATGAGTCTGGAGATAACACACCCTTCACTAACGAGGGTGATGAGGAGGAGGAAGAGAATGCCGAACCTGATTTGACGAGGGAGCATGCTCTACCTCCTGTTAGACCAAGAGTGTACGAGTCCCACATGTCGTTTCATTCTAAGGCATATTCCCTACTTTGATCATTTGCCAAGTATGCCGGATGTGGATGGCCTCACAAGAGATATTGACGAAATTCGGACAATAGTGTGGGATGAATCTAGATCAACGGTACTATCAAAGGACATGCTTTTTCCTGATAAGGCCCGCCTAATCATGATGGTGAAAATGTACAGCGTAAAAGAGTGCCGTGAGATGATGGTATGGGAGTCATCTCCGGATGTATACAAGGTTGCATGCAGATGGTGGTAGACGATGGGGAAACCCTAACTACAAATATGTCAGAGTCTTTCAACGGGTTATTGAAGTATGCACGTGGATTGCTGACTTTATTGGTTGTCTACATCTCTAACAAAGCAATAATTGATGGAAGGGCTTAGAAGGGTGTGCCTAGAACTAATAGGGAGAATGATATTGCAGCTTGAGTTGACATTAATTGTCTGGCTGGCTATTTTATTTGACCCAGGTTCCATATATACTCAATCTCTATATTTTTTCAAGGTAGTCTCTTTATTAATAACGGCACAAACTACACAGATGCATATTTATAATTTTATATTAAATGGTGTGAAATATTCTATCACATAATCAAGATTCTAGTACGATTGGAACATAATGTTTGTCACATAGACTAGATTTACTGTGGTGAGTTTGTCTAGATGATTGAACCGTACCATCTGCAATTATTTTGTAGGTGCATATTTGATCGCTAATTCCATTCATTTTTACTTA